CAGAGTGGCTATCCCTGGATAGGACTCCTATATTAAACCTCACCCACCCATCGCTCAGGGACCATTGCAGAAGAGGAGGCGGAAAATTGTAAGAGCCAGGGCTGGTTCATGAACACAGGGAAGAGGAGGTTTTCAGACTATGAGACGCTTGCACATGTGAACTGGTGGCAATGGTAGCATCCAGTTACACATAGTTGTTGGCTACCACATGGGTGATGAGTACAGGACCCATGCCAACTCAATCAGACAAGTGCCCAGAGTAGAGCAAGAAAAATGGGTGGCAGTCTGGTCCTAGACTGGAAACTATAGGAGACTGATTACTACTGGGTGAGGGAGAGTATCCCTTACTTACAATCTCTAGATAGTCTAACTAGACTCCAGTGGATGGATTTGCAACAAAGGACATCTGGGTACAAATGCTTGACTCGATAGGAGAATACGTGAGGTCCAGTGGGGGATTCTGGGGTATGGATGTGGGAGGGGTGTCTAAATTTTATTAAGAATTGTTGTATGAAATGTACAAAAACTCAATAAGAAACTTTTTAAAATTCTGTTGATTTTTGTTTATGTTTATTTTATGTGTATAGTGTTTCACGTGCACGTATGTAAGTGTGATATGTGGATGCAATGCCCAAGGAAGCCAGAAAAGGGCATCAGATCCCCTGGAACTGGAGGTACACATAGCTGTTAGCTACCACTTGGGTGCTAAGAATCAAACCTAGGTCCTCTGCAAGAGCAGTAAGTGCTCTCTTAACTGCTGAACTGTCTCTCCAGCCCCTCTTTCTATATACCAATAGCAAGAAAAATGAACCTACCATATGATCCAGTTATACCACTCCTTAGCATATACCCAACGGATTCATCCTATTGTAGAGATACCTGTACATCCATGTTTGTTGCTGCTTTCTTCAAAATAGTTAAGAAATGGAAACAACATAAATGTCCCTCGACTGATGAATGGATAATGAAAATGTGCTATATTTATACAATGGAGTTCTTTCTACTCAGCAGTAAGAAAATATGAAATTATGAAATTTACAGGTAAATGTATAGAACTAGAGAGTGTGATACTAAGTGAAATAACACAAACACAGAAAAAACAAGCAACATGTTCTCCCTCATTTTCGGATTGTAGCACCAGTCTCTTATATATGAGTATACATCTTGATGAAACACCAGGAGCCAGGAAAATGGAAAGGATACACTGAGGTAAAAGAAAAGAAAGGATCTGAAAGAGGCGGATAATAGGGAAGAGATGTTACCAGAGGGGAGGTGGGGAAAGTGGAGTGTTCAGCTACAAGGGGAGAAGGGAGGGACATGTAGGGGCCATGGTGGGGGATGGCTCAGGGGAGGGGGATGGTGGGAGATGGGTGTTATTTGGGGGAGGGGAGGGATAATGGGGGTGCTGGGACTGGGGAGAGAGAAGGGAAGTCAGATAGGAGGAAGAGAAAGTAGAGATGAATTGATCTTGGGGGGCTAGAGAAGCCAGGGAGAAATGTGTCGCCCCTAAAATCCCCTGAGAAATGCACATACAGTGTCTGAAGAGTAGTACAGATATACACCTGGGGGCTGTATGACAAGGAACACAGTGCCAAACAGGAGAGACCTCCCTTTGAGTGTTTGGTCAGAGTTGTCCAAGAGATTTCCAAAATAATGCAGGCTATTGCCAGAGTTCTTGTTTATCTCTCAGAACTAGAAGATAAGACCCTACTGCTGAAGACAGGTCTTCGGATACAAGAGACTTGGAGCAATGAAACAGGAACTGAACTGGAAGCCTTCCACCTGAAGTTTAGCTCTCATAGTGCTATATGGTAATATGCAAGCTGCCAAGGAAGAAAAATCAATCAATGGTCCAACCCAGCCCTAAAACCTAGTAACCCTGATGACTGGCACAGCAAACTACCTCTATTGGTGCAGTAGTGGCACTGTTTTCTGGGGGATAATCATCAGCCACCTAATTGGACTTAAAGCCCTCTCAATGGGAGTGAACTCATAGATGGCATTGTAAGCACAGCCAAATACACATGGCTGGAGAGGTCATAGATCATAGAGAAAACCCTATCTCTGTCATATCTCTAGACAAATGAAATTTCCAACCATATACTATATATGGATCCTTATATTTACAGACAAGTAT